ATACACGGAAGGAGTATTCTTTTCACCAATTTATCGCCAAACAAAAATATCCAAATTATACAATAAAAAGAACGAATTCGTCCTTTCTATGATGAAAATTCGTCTCTAACGGTTTTCTCTTGACTCTCATTACCACTCAACTTCCTTCCACTGTGATTGCATCGGTGGTATCCGATCTGCGGTCACGGAAATAACCATGCATCAACCCTTCACGGCGAATTGGTCGCATGCCTTGCGGTCGTGCAGTTCGCGAGAAAGCATACAACCCAGAAAACCGAAACGTGCCGGATCGATTTGTGTCTGACGCCAGACGCCATATAATAGATCGGTTCGTATATACACACCGAAAGTCTCATTCCATCGAGTTCGCCCCCTACTACTCTTTGTCTCCTGTTTCTTTAGGGGTTTACGTGGACGTTTGGGTCGCGATGCCTCGCGGTGGCTCTCGCGCGCCTCTTGGCCCGGAGGGGCCCCGAAAACCTAACCTCAAAACGCACACGGATAATTGGGGATAATGTCGGGGTTGCCGGGGCCCCGTAATTGCACGAGGCCAGGCCCTTTCGAGACTTCCCTTCCTTCCCCATCCCCGAATGCCCCCCTCAACAGTTCCTCGTTCTTCGCCACGCTGGGCCCTTGCGCTAGCTGTCTGTCCATCCGTCCGTTCTGCTACGTCCGTCTGTCGACCGCTTTCGCAGAACCCGATAGTACCTAATTCGTCGGTTTGTTTCGTGCTGCCGTGTTATTACGCGGTCCTGGCTCGTGTAGCTGGCTTATGCGATCCGCTCTCCATCCATGATCCACCGCGAAAAAGACAGCCGGCTGTGACCTCGAAAATGGACCTCTGAGACACTCACGGTTCGAGCATCGCGTTGACCTAACTGCCTCGAGCATCCTTGTTCGTTCTAACGTGTTAAGTTTTACACCTTGGTATCTAGATACGATAGTTGCTTGGAGAAACGGTCCATAGGAATAATCTATGACGCGGTAAATCTTCCACATTGGAAGGTCTGTTTTAGGAAGAAGAAAGAATTGAATTGTTATATTATAGTTGTATCTCTAAATTAGGTTTTGCGAAGAATTTGAATTTAGTTTCTGATACTTATGATTACTTTGGACATATCGCCAGGCGCGAATGAGTTGTACTACCGTGTTGAAGTAGAATGTTTCACGATTGAATAAAGTGTGCCGAGGAATAAAAAGTTCCCGCGTGCGCAATTGTCGAATCGATAACATAATTATTACACCGAAGCATAGTATCTATTGTTTTGTCATGATTAGTGTATGGTGTCAAGATTACACTCAACAACCTCGAATTACGTTGTTCCCATCAGATCAAGTTTGATACAATTATCCAATCCGCGAACAAGACGAGGGTAAACATTAAACCTCCTCTATTCTCGCACAGAACTACCATCGACACGTCTACAATGTAATCTATTAGCGAGGAAAAACTTTAAACTTGCGCCACTTGCAGATTTGATTAGTCGTTTCAATTCCAGTACCCGTGGCGCAAGAGTAGAGAAAGCGTGAAATGTCAGACATTGGAAAGAGAAACGAAACCATTTGAACTTTGGAATTAAACAATTTTCAACATAGAATATAAATGTGGAGAAAATGACATTGCATCGGCATTTATCAAAGAGTGGAAGATATAGCATACAAGAAGCTATTGCAAGACTGATCTATGATATTACTTAATAGGTAAAGTTACAAATTAGCAGATAAGCAATTAGCTGGAACTTCAGGTGGGCTTGGACAAACATGTGTCAGAGATGGACGCTGCGGCTCGTAAAATTCTTTAGTAATTAAAGACCTGAAAGAACGCAGAGCGTGTCTCGTTCACGTCGAACGACGAATCTATGCCCTTAAGGAAAGAAATTGGTTGAGAGTAGCGACGAAACATCGTGAGATACGAAACGGTTTGATAAATCTGCATGTAGATGAGGCTTCTAGATTAAAAATTTTATGAAGTTAATAATTTATTCCAAGAATTCAACCCAGCAAATTGGTATTATAATTCTGAAAATTGTCTGTATTGCTTGATGCATTTAATAAACTAAATTTTTTTGAGTTGCGAATCGTTCTTCTTATTATTCTATTCGTGATGCGATTATACCGATTATTCGATCGAAATTTTGATCGAGGAGAACAAAATCCTAGAAAGCTGAATGCGTCTTCTGTGAAGTGGGACACATCGGCACATTTAGGCTATCATTATCCACATCTGCCGCGGCTGTCCCACGAGATAGAACAGAGTCTGTAATTACCGACGTCTTAAACGATGTATGTTCTTCCATTCTTACATCTCGGTCTTTGTTTCCACAGCTTGGGGTCATCGTATCGTCATTAGTGCCCCTCTTACTGGTCTAATTCAAAGGTGCCCATTTGCACGAATGTTTCCTCAAGAATTACCGAATGTTTCTTCTGATTTCCTAGAAGTGGAACATCAAGATATCCTACTGGCTTTACTAGATGAATAATTTACTTCGTTCTTTCCTTCTATTCTTTCTACGCTAAATTCGTTGTCGAAATGAAAGAGAACTAACTTCATGGTAGCTTCTAGCCGTCGGATAAGTACAAGAACTGCGTTGGATTGCGAATATTTCGACGCGACGCGACGATGTTGAAGGAGGTTCGAAGAAGAAGCTACTGACGCACACTAAACGATTTTTGGAAGAAGCGTCCTTGTGGGTGATGAAGGCCACATTTCTGAGACACAATGAAATCAAAAGGTGGAAGGATCGATTCGCCTGCGGGTATATCAAAAATCGTGGATGGGTTGTGGTACATCGATCGTGAACGGGAGTCCGTTCGATAACTAGGAGGATCTTATCTCGAGGGCTCCCAGTTTCGACGGTCCTCGTACCTCGAACTCTTAAAAGATGTACCCTCGAGGGGCGATCGTGCTTTGAGGGCGCCGCATCGCGCCAACCACGCCTTCTCCACCGTTATTTACCTCCGTCCTTTTCGCCCTTGCAGTTTTATTGCCTCTTTCTTCCCCTTTTTCAACGTTGGTCCAGCAAGCCCGGGAGCGATAGATATCGTCGGCATCAATAAGGATCCGACGGCTTTAACAATTCCACGATCCGCACGAGGAACCGCAAGAAACAGAAAATCCGTTTCCACTTAGCGAATCTACAAGTTCTATACCAGGTAAAACATTATTCTGCGATGCTAGCTGCAAGTTTACAATCGTAGATCGAAGAACATTCTTTCTAAATAACATGACAGAAAAGAATTTTGAAGAAACCTCGTTAAGGAATATTTGGATAAATTAATCTGTTTATTCAAATAACAGTAACCGCCAGCCCTGGGTACAAAATGTGTTCGAAACATGTTTCGTTGAGAAAACCAAGGACAATTAGATAAATAAAGAAACAAGTGTTTTATGCACAAAGTGAGCAGCATTGTGTGCACGTGCAAGCATGTAGTTTTCAAGGAGTATAAATCTCCCGTGACAGTGATGCCTGGCCAGCGGCATGTTGGAGGAGTAGAGGAATTTATCTGAAGGATAAAGCAAAACGAAGAATATTTTTTTGCGCAGTAGTTAATGGTTAGAATATAAATCGCGTATGTTAATATTTTGCCATCTTTCAATTAATGTATCTACATTAATTATTTTAAGATATTTATTAACAATATTGTTCCCATTCAAAGTTCATTTTTCGCAAGAAAAGTTACTATATCAAACTTAGACATCGAATCAAAGATTTGTCCATTCGACTTTTCCCGGACGTGATTCATAACTTAAATATCTTGCGGTATTTTATCGTTTTTCTTATAAGAAAATCATTGTACTAATAGAAGAAAAGTCCAACATCTTGATGAGATCATCGTTTTCAACGAATCTTCTACTTTAACACGAACTTCTGTTCACTTACAATATCACTATTCAGAATTCCTCGGGGGGAAGAATTGTGTGCACCAAAATGGCGGCCGTTCACAATCACACTATGCATTTTAATACATGGTGTATCACTTATACGAGAAATTAGTGTCAAGATGGTAAAGATACACAATTTTTCGAAAACACTAGAAGCTACACTTTGACATATGCACTGACATCGTTAACTGTCACTTTTATACATGAAAAATAAAAAATAGAAGGTATTGGCAACGTGGAGTTCGAGGAAACCTTAGTCAAGGTCAGCAAAATGGCGGCGATATAAATGACTCTTGATAGATCGAAAGGGGGACACTGAGTTATTCGTCTCGGAACCAAAACAACGTGGATTTAGATGGAAATAAGGTGACAAAGGGAACAGAACTCGCTGATCCATAGTCCAGAGCGGAGCACACAAGACAGGCAGGTGTAACGCGTAGCGGCAGTAGACACCAACTGATCTCACATAACAACGGCCGATAAAATTGTTGCGTTTCCACCAAAAATTATCCTCTTTTTTTCCCTCGCGGTATAAAAAGTACAAAATTGTGGTAATTTAGCCCCCACCGCCGTGGCGGCGATTCTCCACTCGCTGGCCACAGGGAGGAGAGAGGCAATGAGCGAACAAGAGCGTAAAAGACAGATAGAAGAAGTAACAGAGAAAGAGACGAAGATAGAAAATGTTAGAGACAGAAAGGGAAGAAGAGGGGCGGGAAAAGAGGAAAGTAAAACGGGGGCCTTTTGCCCGTGAATACGCCGCACTAACAACACGGAACAATTATGGTTCAATATAACTGAGGCTAATAACAATAGCTGAAGCGGCTTCACACGCTCAGCGTATCTTTTTCCCTCCTAAAAAAATATATTGTGAAACATATTTTAAAAACGTATACCGTATTTTTAACGTAGCCAGCGTGTGCGACATATCATATATGAAATGTTACATGCAAACGTTTAATGTACGATACAGTTGTATCAAATGAAGCAATTCGTTGTACGTATGTAAGCCTGTAAAAGTAATCGTGGTTTATGCATCATGACATCGTTATCGCGTGCACGCTGAATCGTTATAGCTAAAAAAGCTGCCGGTTTATCAGAAAAAGTACAATGCACTTACCAACATGAAATTTTCTGCGAACTGTTATCCATAACCTGGCGTAAATTCGAAAACACAAAATCACTTTGACACACGTCGAAAGGAATCTTACAAATGATGTTCGATTTCGCTAGCACGGCAACTCTTGCCCTGTACTGCTGCTCGTGTGAACTCAACCAATGCTTAAGCCACCGAGAAGGGGCATACTATGAAATTAGTATAATCACGATCAAAATTACTCGCACCAGGCAGTGCTGGAACCACCAACCGCCGGTCAAATAACCCGCTCCGCCATCGCCAATCAGCGATCGCGAGTTGGCGGCCATCTTGCGCGATACAGCATGCGCATCAGCAGCCACAAATTACCGCAAAAGTGGATAATCTTTGCTCACGTGGTGCGTACTATTCCAGCAAGATGTATGTGTCCTTTGCTCGATCGTTCCGTTCCAAAAAGTGAAGACGATTTTGGCTAATAACGCTATCGAATTTTACATTGACTTTGACATTGTAGATAACGCTATCTTTTATATGTTGCACTCCCGATACGATATATATATATATATATATTTGCACATGAAATAGAAATAGACATGTCGAAGCTAAGATAAGATAACGGTCTTAATTCCGAATAAGGTACAAATGTCAGTTCTTTCCATTTAAATGGTAATCCGTTCTATTAAGTTTCCTTTGAATCTTCTGTACTTAGCATTGCATAGCACGGCTGCATTATTCTGTCGCATTCAGAGAACTCTTTCCTTTCCGTGTTCAGTGCACGAAAAAAAGAAACTGCACGCAAGCCGAGACCGCGAAACGTAATCGCGCTTCGGAGTCTCTCACGCAGGCTGGTACAAGGTTGTCGTCTTCCATTTATGGCGCAACCGTGCACCATGTAATTATAAGAACAAAATATTTAGACTGCACTAACACGCTGCTGTAAAAGCGATTCTTCATGCGCGCGGTAAAATAACGACAGCATTCACATGGATCTGTTCCAAATTTCTAATTAGACTTCGTTGTTTATCTTCGTTAACACTGGGAATCTTTTCCACTGAAATTAGTTAATAACTTTAATATACTCTAATGCGGCTGTAATTTACTATGAGCCGTTAGCCGATCCGGTGAATGACACTTAGATAGTTTAAACACCGTTGCATATTTTCCTTACTTAGCTCGTCATAAACTAATTAGCGACATCTGATAAGCCCGAACATTTTTCTCCGGCGTCGCCCACGTTGATATATTCTACATATACGCGATATGTACATGGATGCAATTGGGTAGGTGTATATCCATCTTAATGCACACGCCTCACCCGTAGGGGGTTCTCGAAGCGCCGTGTTACGTTTCGTTGCGTCACGTGAACTGGCCCCCTGATTATAGTCGTTAATTATCGGTGGTTGCGGCTAAAGGAAATTAGAGGATTCGAGGTCGCTACTCCTCTCCTGTGGTAAGAATAAAAATAAAACCACCACTGATCTCTTACGCTTTACATAAAGAAAACGATGAACACGAACGAGTTCATATTCGCAAACGTAAGAGAAGAAGCTAGAACCACATATTTCATTTGTAATTATCATAATACCAATATTATCGACATTACAGTCAAATCACAAATGCTCGCATCTTGCATTTCTCATAGGCTTTGAAGCATTATGTGACCTTTTTTCTTAAAATTTAGTTAGAATCATAGAGCATGCGGATTACTGATAACCATCGAGATTTGCATTGCTAAAAGGAGATAAGAAGGAAACCGCAGATAGGGAGGAAGGGCGTAACATAGGAGATTCCTGCCAGTCCTTCCGCCGTTTTTCGAGACGTATACTATCTGCTACACCTGGGGCACGAATACGAATTAGGACCAAGTCGCAACAGGATCGAGTCCCGCCGATTTCGAGTATGCTGGCCCCTTAGGCAACGATAAGTTGCTGCAGTGGGTCTAGCCACTGCTCTGCCCTCTGTAATTATACCGTATACAACCGAACGTTGTCTTGCTCTTTCTTTCTGGCGTCACTTTCTCCTTCGTTTTCCACCGTTCCTCGTCTTCACTGGATGCTTCTTATTGTTGAACGCGTGTTTCGCCGACCATGGTCCTGCCGGGGGCCAAAGTTGCGTTCGAGCAGCCGTCTTCGAGACTCCGCTCTTCCGCTCCACCCTCCTCGTTTCGTTTGCTTTGTTCTACTTACTACATTGCTCTTTTATTGTTTAGTAATGATCGCTCCGTTCGGTCCGTCACTTTTTCACAGACAGTGCACGATTTACACGATTCAAGAGCGAATAAAGAGGATCGTTGCCGGCTACAAGCATCGAAATTATTTATTTACCTTATCGATGCGCGATTAATACGAATCTTCAATTAATGATCCGTTCCTGTTAAATGTATGGTTACGCATATTGTCGGACAAATATTGTCGCTACTCTGGATCTTGAGCAGACGCGTTATTTGCATCTTCGATGCCCGAAGCATCAGTTGCTTCTGTGGATATTTGTACAACGATAATTGGTTCAGGAGCAGCGATCCGTTCGCGCGATCACTTCAATATATATCTAGATACACATCTTGAACAGTGTTTCGCGGCGTGATCGTAATTTCGTATCGCGATTTAATATTCGAGAAAAAAGCAGGTCGTCTGTGGTTGGTTGCCGTCGGACGAGCCACGTTCCACGGCAAGTTTTCTTATCCCTACTTTCCACAGTATTTATCTTATAAATTACAATCTGCATGCATTACAGTTTCTTACATTTTGTTGGTCAAAAGTGATCATAACTATGCACACTTCGATAACAACAGAAAAGGAAAGAAGTTGCGAAGGAATATCGTACGCCAGGCTGATCCGTTTTACCGGTTTGCCCAAATAAAATTGTTAGTTATTGCGAATCTTTGTAATGGTCTAGGGCCCGTGGCAGCCTTGATAAATTGTAGTAATCTTAGATAAACACCATGACTCATATGACAGGACATCATCGATGAACATAACGTTGGTGCATCAGTCTTGGACGCTGAGACTGTGTTACGTACGCTATTTGCTTATAAACGTGCGTGAATATCTTCTATATAAGTGTGTAGAAATGCATCAGCGTTTGAAATGAGTCAGTGTACCACGATTTTCCAGCTATGTACGCTCACTGACTGCGAGATTTATGGTTTGTTACGTAACAACGTCTCTCTGGTAAATTTAGTTTCGTATACACGGTATATATAATCATTTCACACACTAGTGAACGCACATTATCCGAGACACTCGATAGCAGATAATGCACGCCGTATACAGAAGACAGTGATATACTGCCTGTTAACACGAATCTGAGGCCCCATTAAATAATTAAACAAGCCGAAACATATCGATTTTATATGTCTTTGTATTTTTATATATTTAATTCCAATACAAAGTAAATTTGTAATATTCTTTTAAAAAATATTCTCTTAATAGGACATTATAGTTAACGATGTATTTTATGTTTCTTCTTATTACATTACTCTTATATTTCATGCACTCGTTTCAATTAATTTATAAAGTAAATCGATTACAGCAGCGTTGCTGACACAACGAGAAACTCCAGGAATATGGTCAGCCTAATGGTGGCCATTTTTAAGTGAGAGAAAGGAATTGTGACCACCAACTTCATATAATATGCAAACAGTACGTCCATCATGACGAACAATACACGAGAAGGTTTCGATCGCCGAAGGCTTGCGTGCAAGATACCTGGCCGATCAGACGTAGAGTGTTAGAAGCAGGCGTGATACCGCTTTTTGCGGGTTAACCGACAACGATACCACGGCATGCTAACGGTCATGCGATACACTAGGTCACGCATACAAAAAAGAATTGCATACATATGCAATATTTTTGCATTCATACCCATTGTTCGATGCAACGACTTCAAAACTCCGAAGTAGATATCTCCTCTTCTGCTCGTCTATTCCTCTTGAGCTTCGTATCTGACGATAGAAACAACTGCAATTTGATAGAAAGTTCTTCTAGATTGCGGTGAACCATTGGGGTGCGATGGTAATCCACTTTACTCGTCACACCTCGTACACCATGCCAGACATTGATTTTGCATTATCGTTAACTGAACCGATTGGTTCCCTTTTCCTCCGTGTTCACGTAGATACACGAGATATCTTGATATATAGATGGTCACGTATAGATGCTTGTCCACAATGATGACGTGTTAGTGTTTGTATTTGTACGAAGGGAGCAAGCTTCGGCGCGAAAGGGTGCAACACGCAAAGTCGAGGGTGGCGGCAACCGCAATATTAGATTAATGGCGGATGTACTTCACTTTCGGTGCCATATCGTTTCCCGACGTAGATTTCGTCGGAAATTAAACTTCTCGAGTAGCATCGTCCATCAGTCATACAAATTGAAAATTGCCTTTAATTATTTAGTGTTCATATATGGCATATATGCATATATGGCACGTTTGCAATGTTATATTTTGTTATTTGTGTAAGAATTAATTCAAGAACACTCCAACACAGTTGTTTTATCTCGCATCTAAGATCACCACGATACAAGATGCAGATGCTTGGGCTAAATTTTAAGAGATCCACACTGTACCCGCGACAACGTATCGTCGCATAGCATAAAGAAACATAAATCAATGTGCAAAAAGTAAAAAGTTATAGCCACCGAGACGTCGAGGCAACGTCTTTGCTTGAACAAGCGGCAGCACCGGGATGGCCTCGAGGGCTGAACGAGGTGGAAGAGCAGAATGGGAGATCCCGAGCCTTGATCGTGATAAGATGCAGCGGCGTCGTCGGTTGACAAAGGGTCGTAGGAACGCCCCCTCAGATCCGACGTGCAACCGCTTGCGGGGGCGTACATATTAAAATTGGCCCCCCACCTCTAACCCTGTATCAACCATTCGCCGATCTTGTTTATTACTGGCACGTACAATCACGTTACCAGAAAATATGATCCCTTTTACCGAAAACTCTAACCTCTGTTGTACTCACCAGCTCGTATCTTTGTGCCGTAACTTTGTTGAACATCATTTCTTAACATCATATTCGCAAGACATACTGTCGTTCATAAAATGTGTGTACGAACTTCAATGTATACTATATTGTATTTATTTATTATGTTCGCGTATTTTGCTCCATTCCATATTTTTATACTAATGATTCCGTATTTTTATGCATTTATATATCTTTCCTATAGTAATAATAAATAATGCAACGTATATCCTATATAAATAGTTCGCAATATTATGTGTTAAACTATTTGCCACAACGTATAACCTATAATGCATTAGAAAATTTCTATTTCTTTAAAACATTCTTTAAAATAATAACATTCACTAAAATGATACTGACAACCTTTGTTGAAAACAATGATAAGTCGATAAGGAAACATGAATATAGATAAATATAAATATGAATAGCAAATAGAAATTCAAAATACCAAGAATATGTTTCTTATACATACATATACATATATATATATTCTTATTCTTTATTCTTAATGCCATCCTCATTATTCAATATCATTAAAACAGTCAAGTAAATATAGACGAACATAGATGTATTGAAAAGACATAAAACAATGGAAGTTGAATTATTATCTGTTACCTTACTTGTTCTGCAAACAGCTTACCAATTTTTGCATGTGCATCGTAAATAAACACCAACTGTAACAATGCAACGCATTTGTTAATTTTATGTACATTGCTGCATTGTATCGGTACTACTGTGAAAAAATATTACATGCTTTTATTTTCTTCACTTAAAAAAATACAAGTGCGTCTTCTCATCCTCTGCCGCTGCTTTTGAATCGAACCAGGTGCTTCCTTAGCGAACAAAACTTTTCCTGCGGAGATGTTAGCGTTGCGTCCATCTTGTAGTTCGCGACCGTATCGACATAGGAATAGGCGCAAAGTGCGCCTAATGCTGCCCTCTGCGATAGACTGGTCGAAACATCGTACGCCATCTTGGATATTTAATGTCTGTTTTTACCGTGTGATTTTACAGTGTAAACGTCAAGTTTGAGTTTTGTGTTATTGTGCCTAGCGTATTTGAATATACTTATCAAAAGCACAACAATTACAATGTTCCCGCAAAGTTCACAGAGAAGGTATTGGATATTTAGCGATGAAAATGATTTAACAGCATTAAGAGAGAAAACCAATGCAGAATTTATCCAAAGGCATGGTGCGAATATGAAGGTGAGTTATGCTGCTTGCAGTGATAAGTAAACAATGAAATTTTGTATTTTAATTGCCAAAACGTTATCGTGCGTATTATAATTAAGGATAAAATTATTATTTCCAAATAAACTGGTGAAGTAGATATTTGAAGTATATTCTATTGATAATTGTAGCTAAACATGTCGATACATATGTACACTGTTTTATATGAATTTTTTATTTGTCATTTTTCAATTCGTTTTTTGGAGTATAATTTTGTATTGCATTGTGATATACACATGTTATTTCCACAAAACATAACATGGAACTTATATTTTAAAAAGCCAGAGCAGAGAGAAGAACATTTTCTATCCCACATAGAGGAACGTACATTACTTCGTTTCTATGAATTACAATTGAGAGACTTCTGCCGCCGCTTCACACCTTCAATGCCACGTGCCACTGTAGCTACTGCGTTGCATTATTTCAAACGATTTTATCTTAGAAACAGTGTTATGGATTATCATCCCAAAGAGATTTTAGTCACATGTGTTTACTTGGCTTGTAAAGTAATTATATTGTCTCCATATTGTCATTACATTTTTGCAGTTTGTCACAGTAGTTGATTTTAGGTAGAAGAATTTAATGTATCCATATGTCAGTTTGTTGCTAATATTAAAGGAGATAGAGAAAAGGCATCCGATATTATACTTAATAATGAATTGCTCCTTATGCAGCAACTAAATTATAACTTAACAGTACACAATCCATTCAGACCTGTAGAGGGATTAATGATAGATATCAAGGTACATCTTTAATACCTTTATATCAGTGTAAGTTCAATAGTTTTGATGTATTTGATAGAATTAATATATTTTTAGACGAGGTATACATCTTTGGAAAATCCAGAACGGTTGAGGCCATATATCGATGAATTTTTAGAAAGGGTATTTTTGACTGATAGTGTTTTACTATATACGCCAAGCCAAGTTGCATTGGCTGCAACATTACATGCTGCATCCAGAGCCTCTGCTAATTTAGATAATTATGTAACTGATATTTTGTTCTCTCAAGAACATTTAGTGTGTATAATAGAAGCAGTAAGAAGTAAATATATCCTCTTTGATTTATATTTCTCTGTATATCTACAATATATTTTAATTGGCATATATAATATATATTCTAGAAATAAGATCTATGGCTAAATGTGTAGAACCTCCTTCAAGAGAAGTGGTAAGAGCTTTGGAAAAGAAATTAGAAAAATGTAGAAATCAGGAAAATAATCCTGACAGTGAAATGTAAGTATATATTTATAGTCTTAAGCATAGTTTTATAGTATACTTTAAGTATAATGTAAATTATATTTGGTATCATAAGTTTCAACAAGATAAGATTTTTGTATGTACTATTACAGTTATAAGCAGAGAATGCAAGAAATGTTAGATGAGGAAGATTTACAGGACAATGAAAAATATGCTAAAATTATACAAGATCAAGCAGCTCATGATGAGAAAATCTTGGGTGTCAGCAAAGTTTTGTCTCCTTCGGCTCTATAATAAGGCAATTTCTGACATTGCATTGATACCATTTTTTATACCTTTGTCAATTGTACATAATAATGAATAATTGATTACTTTATATCAATAAGATCTAGGAAAGGGTTACAATATTTATTAATATTTCAATATATACCTTTTCGAGATAAAAATATATTTGTTAGTTTTTCATTAAAATCAGGAAATTGTTATAAAAATTATTTAATGTATATATTGCGTCTCTTTATAATAAATGCGATTAATAAACTTTTTGTTTACCTTGTTCATTTTCTATACTTCTATCGTTATTCAAATGAAATTGTTTAATTTTTTACAATTTAGATGGGGATTATGTTTTCACTATGATATATTCTTGGTACGAATTTTGGTTCCATTTTAGTATCATTATTTATTGTGATAATAAAAAAATTAACAAATATGTTAACCGTTCTTTAGAATGTTTAAAAACGCTATTAATTTTAAAATTTTCAAAAATATGTATCACATACCCAGATTTCTAACGATTCAATCCTGCACGATATTAATTATATTAATATTGCATATGAGCTTTACCAACTAATTTAATGTAACGTGAACACGGAATATTTTCGTATTTAAGAATCTTGATGCCTAAAGTCTAATCTTTGGCTTAAATGATATGTCGGATTACTTGTTGGGATGTTTTGGAAAATCGTTGTCTGTTGACCCATTGTTAAATTACTTGGCAATGGTTGAACAATAGGCAAGGCAGATGGTAAAGGAACTGTCGCTAAATGTTGTGGAAAAATCGGTGCTCCTGGTTGCAGTTGCGCTGGATAATTAAAAAACCTGAAAAAGCTTTTCCTTTATAAAAAGTCACATTTTCATTGAATATCGATACTCACCAAAGACGATCCTCGACGAAAATTGGTCGAGGTGCAGGAATACCTAAACTGGAGTAATATTGTTGCGCCAGCAGTTCCACGTCGTTTGTGTACTTCCTTTTCCACTTTGTACGTCTATTTTGAAACCAAATTTTAATCTGTAAATATAAGAAACGACACAAAAATTCATTAACAAATACGAGTATTAGAAAATGTTATTC